AACACTTGATGCCAAACAGTGGATCCCTTCACAAGTCTGAGGTAGAACATTTAAAACAGTAATGATCTTTGCCAACAAATATGCATGAGTAAAATTAAGTAAATGCTTTTTCAGTCCTTTTTCCTCAACAAAATAAACATCTTAATAAAAAAATTAAGTCCTAATTTTTGTATGATTCAAGCAAATAAAGTTAAACATTTACTGAATATTTATTCAACATTTGTTATGTTGTTATTGAAAACAATTATATCGTGATAATTATTGTAATTGTTTTATTGTCCAGCCCTAAGTTGACGGGAACACAATGTCTGGATGAAGTAAAAATGCTTTCAGCTGTCTCTCTTCTGTCTGGTGTCTGTGTTGCATTAGGCCAAACTAGTGAGAGAAGATATAGAATAATATTTAGAGTTACTCCACACTGAATCTCGCTTGGTGGTAAATCACTGACCCCTGTGGGTTGAAAGGTATAAACCTAAGTTGTGACCACACCCAGCTGTGATGTAACACTGCACTAGTGCTTTATGAATAAAATAAATTATTATTATGACTCACCACTGGTTGGCAATGTTATTTCCCTGGGTGCAGTTACACCGTAAGTGACTTATTCCCAATTAGAGACCAATGTCTCTTTTACAGAAAAATCACTTTGATTTTGTTGAAGGATAACAAACAACAAAGTGACAATTTCAAATTCTTTGATAGTTCAAAACCTAATCTGAGAGTCTTGGGATATGATTTTTGTGTGTGTGTGTGTGTGTGTGTGTGTGTGTGTGTGTGTGTGTGTGTGGCAGCTGAGGTGACATCACTGTACAGGAGCAAAAGCAAGTCTGATGTGGCACCGTACAGAACACACACACACACACACACACCCCTGCAGTGTTACACTGCTGAGAAACATTAAAGAGCATCACAATATTTTCCGACTCTTTGAACACTTTTTGTTTTATTCAGAAGCATAGTGTTTTTTCTTCAAGAAGCACAACAGAGAAGGACATCTCCCTTCGCTGCTGTTAACACACCTGGTGCATACAGACCATGATCAAACTGTAGAGGCATGCTAAAAAAAATGATGACAGGAAAATGAAGAGAAAAGAAAACAGCTACAGAAGATATCAGACACATCAGACGGGACATGTCAATAGGCAACTTTATGTTAGGGAAGACACTAACGCAGACTTAAATACGGAGCGAACAGCGTTCGTGACCAACATGATCCAGTTGCCATTATTGATTACAGAGCAAGTCAATCACCATTTAGTGTGAGAATTACATGAAGCCAATCAACAAGCCAGGCCAGACAACCACCCACACAATTACGGCGGGTAAGGGCATGAGAAAAGCGCAAGAGAGGAAGGAGAGAACAAAAGCAACAAAAACACAAAAAAGACAAAAATAAATAAAATAATACAAATATAAAAGTGTGAAGGTAAGGGATATCAGCAATGAAAACAAAATTATACAAACTGAGTTTGTTTCCTTTTTCTACCCATCCAGTTTGAAGGAGCTGCCAGGATGGCACCTTCAAGCTGAATTGTTGAGTATGCAGCAAGCGAAGACAATTCTTTCCTCAATCAATAATGTATTCTTTGCAATATAGAAAGTGATGCATTATTATTCAACAAAGGCTCAGCGATGTATGGAAGGGACTAAGAGAGGGAGCTACTGCAACATTCATCTAATTAACAAGCAAGAATGAACGAACTAGAGAAGGGTAGAAAGGGGGTGGAGGAACAACACAAGTAGAAAGAAGAAAAGCAGAAAAGTACGGAAAGACACAGGAAATGAGGCATAAAATGGGTCTTTTTTTAAATGGGGAAGCTCTCAGATAGTATTCTCTAGAGAGGATGATGTGGAAACGGCTTTGACTGGAAGTCATCAGCACCTAGAGATTTAGCCTCTAAGTGAGGTCCAAAGGAAACTCGCACGCACACACACACACAGAGTAAAAGTATATTCAGTGCACACTGAGGCATCAGAGCATATATACGCAGGGAAATTTCACACACGTCTATGCACACAGTGCAAGTATGAAGGCGTAATCGTGAAAAGACAAACACACTGAGGGTCTTACAAGGCATAATCATTGGAGGCGAGCTTCTCCTCATATTTCACATGAGGATTAGCAAAAATCTGCATGGAACAAGGCGGCAGACTTCGCTACTTATACTTCAGAGGGTACCGTAAAAACCTTAACCTACAGAGGGTGAGGAGTTACATAAACTGTAAAAGAAGGGTAAAAGACTATGTAAAGTTTACAAGGGGAGCATACTGCAGAGGACACCAGAAGAATCCTAATCCCTGTTTGAGAGGAAAACACTCTGCAGCTCTCACTAAACAGATTTAACTGTTGTATTTATGTGTGGGGGGGTGGTTATCACACACTTAAAACTACCACAGCCATTATCCTGCTGACTCATAAATAAATAAGTGATGCCAGGACCTCTAATTGTGCAGTCTAACATGTAAAGTTGTTGAGGGAGAGACAAGGCAGACTGACTGACTAAAGTTTATTTCCAAAAACGTACTTCAGCTGCATAGGGATAAAAGTATGACGATAGTGCTAGTGCTAAATTGTTAGTTGATAATTGATTGTTTGATCGATAGATAATTGATCTAAAGCAATTCTGATAATATATTAAATTGTTTACAGATATGTCAAACATTTGCTGAATCTACCTTCTCAAAGGTGAGTGTTTGTTTTTGCTTTCTGATTTATATTGTTAAAAACTGAACACCCTTGGAATGTGGACATCATATTAGAGTGGGGTGATGAGGAGACTGTAACCTTCCTCAAATACATAAAACTAATACAAATGCCAAATTACCTTCACGTTTTCTACATTGTTTTTCACCGTTTTATCATTTAATTACGTCATCTTGCTGTACTCTCTTCATTGTTTTAATGACACCCGACTAGAATAGCACCACGAGCTGTTTATCTTGATGAACCAATTCATCAAGATAAACAATATTTATATTGCAGTAATGGATGGAAACATGCATTATTTAGCATTTTCTTTCACAGATCTTCTCAAAATTCGGTTAAAATTTGCGTTACATTTGGATTGAAACCTAGCTAGTGATTATTTCCAAAACACATTTAAATGGCTTGAAGTTAGCACATATAGACATTCAAGTTGGGAGGTAAAGGAAAACAAAGGCAAGACAAAGTGGTGGGTTGAGCACTTCAGAGTGGATTATTTTCTCCTCATCTGTTCCTCACTCCCGCTGTCAAGGAGCTGAATCGCTGCTGTTTCAATGACACATACTGACAGGGGACATGTGGTGTGTTTGTCTGTGAGTGTGTGTGAGTGTGTGTGTGAGTGTGTGTGTGTGTGTGCTGCTGAAATAGCTGGTGTGTGGCAGGTGCCAATCAGGACATTCTGTAATTCCCCCCTGCTCAGCCTCGCCTCTGGTCAAGATGAGGGATTATCCCTCACCCCATCATTTCTCTGCTTCCCCCCTCCACCCCCTCTATTTCAACACTCCCATCCTCCCTCCTCTTCTGCCCTCCCCCCTAACGCCTACTCACTTCCCCTCCACTTATAAAAGGTGCCACATGTAGAATTACAGGATCAATAAACCATTACCACAGTAACTTTAAGACATTTGTATATTTACTGTAAACAAACAAGATAGTCGCTGAGAGGTTCTACAGCCTCTACCGAACTTTGTACTCTGTAATGTTTTATTGTGGGCCACAGGGCCAGATTTCGTGTGAAATCTGCTGGACCGCCAAAGAGAGAGATTTCTTTATGGCATGAAATAGGAGGAAGAATGCTATTCTTTCAGCACGACTGGAGCTAAAGATTTGTGATTTTCTTGCACTGGTGGATCTTGAAGAAAAAGAAAGGTTTAAAGAAAAGGAATTTATCCACTGCAGGCGAACTGAAAGAAAAGACAAACACACACTTGTGGCAGTAGGTTGTTGCGAACATGTGGTAGTAATTTTAATAGTAAAGAAATATCCAATATCCAATACCATTGGATAAAACATACTAGCTTCATGTCTTCATGGATTCAGTTGTTTACAATAATTAAAGGTACTGTATCTGTCAATAATTTGACAATGATAATGACACACTGATGTTTCAAAATGCTATTAGTATCATTTGTAAGGATAGTCTAAACTGTATGATAAGCCTTCTTTGATCTTCTGGGCAAATAACACAGATACGAATATCCCCATTGTGAATCTGATGAATCCCGGTAGCTAAACACTGCCTCATGAATACACAGTCCCGTGTGCCTATTCACAGTTCAAAGTGATTGCCAGGCGAGGGACATTACCTTTTCCATTGTGAGAATCAATCTGTACTCTTGCACCTTGTCTGAGGGAATCCTGCATGATGAATGGAGCCTTCCAAGATTACAGCTCACTGCATCACGCAGTCGTGGTTAACCAAAATACTAACACCCACTCCTTCCATACAGCCTCCCCTTTTCCTCTTCAGTCATCCTTTCTTCTTCCCTTCCATTTGTTCTCCACCTGCCTTTCAAACACTCTTTCCTTCCACTCCTTCTTCCAAAGCTTCTCTGCTGATACTTACCTCATCCTCCTACCCCCTATTACTTCCCCCACATTATTTCTTTACACTAATGCTAGCCTGGTTCTGTGTTTCTTTCTCTAGTCAACAGCCACACTGATATTTGAAAGGTGCAGCTAACTGGTAAGTCTTCCCTCCAGTCTGCTAGAATGACAAGATGTCAGTCCCATTTTAGAGGCTCTCGGCAGCCCCAACAACCAAAAGTTGACAGGTGATTGTGTGCTCGATTTTGCTGCTCAGTTCAGCAAGGATGCAAAGCCAGAACCTTTGGCAAATTACTCAAAATCAAAGCAATCATTAAATCGTCACTTCACTTCAGCCATTCACACATCCAGTCTACTCCATCTCCATATGCTTTGCACAGCTTCATCCAATCATCAACAACATCCATGTAGCCAAACATTCTTCCAGCAACAACCCATCCACTCATGATCCTCATACACTGCTCCATACCTTATCAGCCATGATCATGGACGACCCTCCATGAATGCCCAGGATGGGTATGAGTGTCTGCGAGGACATAAAATCCAAAATCTGGGCTATGGCCTCTTGGTCAGTGCCATCCCCAAACACCACGCCATGGATCTTAGTCCCGGACATCAAATCACACATGTGGGTGATGATGCTTTTCGGGTCGGTCTCGTTGACCAGCAGGGTGACCACGTTGACGTCGATGGGGTCCTCCTTGCTCCACAGCGCTCGGATGTCCCGGTCTGAGATGTAGCGTGTGCGTCCCAGGATCACCGCAATGTTCAGGACTGGCACTTTTTCTGAAGCGCCGCCAGTTCGCTGCTTTTGTGCCGCTACAGGGTCCACAATCAGGGTCACCGCCACCAGGAGAGCCAGGGATAGCAGCACACTATTATTACCACTGCCACTGCTACAGCTGCTGCTCCTTCTACTCCTCCTCTTACTCCTTTTGCTGCTGAGGGACATACTGCCAAACCACTTCATCCCCTGCATGGAGAGAGGATGAGGGAAAACAGATGAAGACAGACCAAAAAGAGAGAAGGAGATGGGAAAGAGAAGTGTGAAAAGATGATGGCAGAGAGAAAAAAGACAAGGGAGATAAATTGTTAATGCACCGCTCTTTTAGCCCACACATTTAGGTTGAAACACATAAACCTTGTGGGGAGGGAGATGGCCTTGAGAGGAAGTTGTGAGAGAGAGAGTGAGAGAAAGAGAAGATGACTAACAAGTATATACTTTCTGGTCACGACTATTGGGATCAGATGATTCAGGAGCAAGCTGTGTTGTTCGGATAAGGCAGGGAGACATTTGCAATTTGCATTTCATATTATAGAGTTGAATCATATGGGGAAACATACATAGCGCCATGACTCTACACCAATGTTGATCTTTCAGTCTGTTGGTCTGTCCACCACTTTGGTCCAGACTGAAATGTTTCGAATATCTCTAATATTGGATTAATTTACGTGACATTTTGTGCAGAGATTCATGATGGCCATAAGGTGAATGCTACGTTAGGGATCACTTAACTTTTCATCAAGCTCCTTCATCAAGAAAAAAATTGTATTTGTCTTTAATTTATGACCAAGTACCAGCAAAACTATCAGGCATTGCTTTCAGACTCAGCCATAGTATGTGGTGAGTGCTACTTAGCAAATGCTAGCATGCTAGCACGCTTAACTAAGATGTTGAACATGGTAAACATATCTGCTACACATCAGCATGTTAGCATTGTTGTTATGAGCATGTTAGCATGCTGATGTTAGCATTTAGTCCAAGGCTCCGCTGTGCCCGAGTACAGCCTCACAAAGCTGCTAGCATGGTGGTAGGCTCTAAGTCTTGCTCATACATAATTAATATTTCAAATTTGGACAAAACATTCTCAGCTTAACAGAAATCAAAAAGATGAGTCAAAGATTATGTTCTCACTGGATTAACCCCACCATCATGAACTTATTAGTGGTCTGACAGTAAATAAATCTTTAAACTATAAACTGGTGTAGTAGCCTATGCCATAAGCCTTAATGAAATATTTATTTGAATGTCAAATAAGAAGGACAACATATTGCAAGCACAACAATGTTGGAGTTGTATGATAAGAACTGACATATACAAATGTCTTCTCAGCCATCAAGAAACTAAGTGAAATCATCATGCCCTATGGTGCTGATGCTGGTTTGAGCATTTCTGCACCTGTATATATTTGATTCTCATATACTTTTTGTATATTCTTATATACAAAGCGGCCAGACACACAGAGAGATCATTTTGTATCACAGAGGTAAGTGAGAGACAAATTACATAATGGCTGAAAGGAACAGACTAAACCAGGGAGTGCTATAAAAAGCTTGGGATGCCACTGCAGGAGGGGGCAGAGGGATCCAGGGGGGGGTTTCCTCAGTTGAAACAAATGTTTGTGAGTTTTTGAGAGTGTGCGTGTGTACATGGATGTTTGAGCATGTTTATATGAGACAGTGATAAAATCACTGGTAAGAAGGTAGCAGCTGTTACTCGGCACCAACCACAGCAGAGGAGCACAGTGACATCATCATCACACACAGATTACAATCTACACCACCCCTCTCCTTACAGAGATAACACTCACTGGACCTCATTGGACATCTAGTGCTCAAAGAGCATAAAACATTGTGTTTGTGTGTGTGTGTGTGTGTGTGTGTGTGTGTGTGTGTGTGTGTGCAGGTGTCTAGGTGTATCATCATGTGTAAGGCATATGAGCAGGTGTGCTGAACAGTAGAGCGTGAGCAAAATCAGAAGGGCATGAAACATATGGTCACATAATGTGTCCATGCGCACTGCTGACGATTTATGGATTCACTGACAGGACCGCGTGTTTTTGCATTGTGCAGAGCCCATTGGTGCATGATTGATTCACACGAGCTGTCGTTTATCAAGCTGCTGTTGAAACCAGCACAGATTTAAGCACTGAGATCACAAGTTCATAAGAAAGACGGCTCAAACTGAAACTGCCACCCATTAATATAATCATCACTGTGAAAAACAAAGCAAGACATCCACATGTTGCTAACCAATGTCTCTTAATCAACCAGTAAAATGGACTCATGCAGATATGATAATTACCAAGGACATGATGTTTTCAATCCTGATTCTTTGTCTATTTGTCTCTTAGTTAACAGTATAGCTCAGAACATTAATAAAATATTTTTATCATATTGGGTGGATAGTTAGGTCATGAGCCATTGAACAAAGTATTTAGTTTTCGGTGCAAATCTAGATACAGGTGAAAAACCAAAAATCTCTTTGACTGCTTTTATAAAATTGCATGACCGGACATTTGAGATTTTTTGCTATTTTCCCATAAGCTTGTGCACTTTCTTGAATGGCAATAACATGTCATGTGCGTCCGATGATTGTATATTACTGCTATCTGTCTATGTTGATGCAGATCTGAATCTACTGTAGTTGCAAACTTAGTGTATAAATCTTTTGTAGGACTAAAATAGTACGTTTTGGCAGGAGTGCACACTCTGTGATTTCTAGTTTTGGTCTTGTTGCAGGTTGTGTGAATACACCACTCTGTATGCACCTGTTACATATACTTTAAGGTACAAAGATAATGTAGATTTATATTTTTTTAAAAAGCCAACTACTAAAAAAGAACCAACTACTTAGGAAAGCAATTCATTCCAAATTGTTTTCTGTGTCACCTACGCCTGCCAAATGCTGTTTAACTGGCCTTCTGAGCTTTTTCAATTGCCAGTGAAAACTGCGACTTCACTATTTGTAAGTATGATGATTGTTTGAGATTATTTTCTGTGGGCTAGGATTTGTCATACCTTGTGATTCTGTAATGAAATTGAGACCCCAGTGGAAGGCTCTATTGTGTGCTGAATAATTCATGTGGGCTCACTGTGTCATCCTGGGTTTTTAAAACAAGGCGAGAACTGCTTGTCCCCCCTGCCCAACTGAGCATAAACACTGTTAGAGCAGACCTCAGGATGAATCATCCAAATCTCAGTCCATTCACTGCAGAGAAACCACCACTGCCTAATGGATTCCTAGCGTCTCTTTAAGAAAGTTGGCATCTTCCTTTGGCCAAAAGCTCTAGCTTTCCATGAAGGCTTGTACTGCCAGTTTGTGAAATCATTAAATTCTATAGGACTGATATTCATTTTTCAGTGGAACGATGGAATATTGTCTTTAAAAAAACTACTGAAACTGTATAAAGATGTTTACTTCATTATAGTGACCAGCTCTATCCTGCTTCATTTTCATACATTTGCACACTTTCACACTGAGACGCAGACTATAACCGCAGTTTCTTGTACTGTTGGTCGTTAAAGAGTTTCACCAAACATTTCCAATCTTTTACTTGGTCTTAGCTAGAGAACAGCACCACTGTTCGCTGGTTCCACTTTCAGCTCTTGCTCACGAGCACTTGATCAGGACGTGGACTCTTCCTGTCAAGAAGAATTAAACTCAAGCCTTCCAGCCAAAGTGTTTGCAATTACTAGGCCATCCTGCTGCTATTATCATTTTATTTATTAAATTTTACTATTATTAGTATTATTATAATCACATCAGCTGGACCGTCAAACTGTGAAAATGCTTTTCATAAGCAGTTTCTGGAGGTTACAGGAAAGTTATGAGGCCCACACAGTCTGGAAAATCTGAGCAGAGGAGCTGAATGAGACACCAGACTGCATCAATACTATTACATAAATGCCTGCATATGTACTGTATTCATACTGTGCATACAGGGATTTGGGTAAATGTTCTAATATACCCATGTTTTGATGAATACTAAGTATGAACTGAGTATGAGAGAAAGCTACTAGATAATTTCAGGACATGCAATATCCTTAAAAAAAGAGAGAACATGTACACATTTAGGGTAGGCAAAGTCATTGCACATGGGAAAATCAAAATTATAAAAAAGGGTCAAACTGGTACCAATGTGACATATTATGGTATTTATAGTAACAGGCGTGTTCATTGTTGACAGGATTATCTTCTACTTCTTGTGGTGCGGAAATCTGACCAAAAAAGTGTGTTTTCATTTTCCCCTCTTTCCTGGTCTCAACCCTGCAGCATCACAGGGGGATTTTAGGAAGAGAGGGATAGCGGGGAAATAGACAGAAGATGAGAAAAACAGGCAGATGAAATAAAGGCACTGCAGAGAAAAAAAAGTAGAGACAGAGCCATACAAAAGGAAAGAGGAACAGAGAAAGAGAGAGAGAGCGAAATAGAGAGAGCATCCCTAGCCAAATCGGATTGGGGCAGTTAGTCGTCACACAAAGGCTACTGTTTCTTGGCACCACAACAGTGAATGATGTTTGGCTGGCACATCCATACTAGTGGCTATCGTTCACACACGCACACACACATATGCGCAGACTCATATTTCCTACCTCAAACAAGGCACAAAACATGACTGCTCTCTGTGCATGCACATTTTCATGTAAGTCTAACATCACTTTCTCAGTGAATAAGAAAGTCATTCATTTTTCCACTCTGTCCTGTGTGATCCTTTTCAGAAAATCACACACACACACACACAAAGAAAAGACAGACACACACACACCCCCACACACCTCTGCAGTAAAATCTCTCTTGCTACACCATTACCACAAATCCCACATAGCTTCATCGCCTCAAAGCTCACGTTTCTGCTCCACACACAACTAGGTTTCACATCAATAGTTTAGCCACATTATCTTTACATGATGATTAATATGATTACATTTACTGCTGCAGTCACATTGTCATTGTCTTTCTAAATGGCATTAAAATTAGATGAACATACTGAAGACACCCTATGGATATGATTTATTTAGTCCACAATGGTTTACATCGAAGATGATGTATGCTTTACTATGCCATGGCCCAGAGGACACGTGTGTGTGTGTGTGTGTGTGTGTGTGTGTGTGTGTGTGTGTGTGTGTGTGTGTGTGGGTGTGTGTGTGTGTGGGTGTGTGTGTGTATATACTTTCTGGCTTGAAGGAGATAAACGT